CTGAAGGCAGAAAATGAGCATTTTGATTCCTTCATGTCAGCCCCAGGGCATTTAAAATATAGAAGATAGATCTCTTGCTGAGACAATGTAAGCCCCTTAATTTGTAGATGCTGGGCTGCACAGCACATGTCCAACTCTAGCTGTCTATCAAGAAAGAGCTGCAATCAAATATCACCTTAGATCGGGGAGCTGGGAGTCTGAAAGTGAAGAGTCAAGATCAAAAAGTCAAGAAGAAACTCACTGTTTTGAGAAAAGAACAGCTGAAAAGGACAAGTAACGGATACAGAATGGCAGTACTCACTCATATCAGCAAAGGCACTGGGGTCATGTGGTGTTTCCAATGTTGTATTCTGCATTGTGTTCCCGATATTCCAGGTATCCAATAATTTATTCTGTTGGGATGACCTCTATGAGGTGTTCCATCCCATGTCAAGAAATTAACTTCATTTTTAATGGAGAGGAAATGCCACTACAGAAACATTTGTTAAACCAGAGCAGGACTTTTTTGCAGCCCTCTCAACATACCTGAATGGATTCCTGCTCTTATCTTTAGGAGGGTGTTGGGCTTGTGTGGGATCTTAAAAGTCTTGCAGACGTCCAGAAGGTCTAAAGCCATGCTTGCGATCTCACCGGCATGAAGGATCCCATTCTCTTTGGGTACTCCTGACACCACCATATCTTAACACAACAATGCAACTGTGTTAACCTTTGGCATTACACAGAGATTTACCAAAGGATGCTGCCTAAGTTAGAAAAAACTAAAGCCCAGTTCCTTCATATCCTGTAGCATAGTTGTGCCTGCTGAGCAGAGACAGCCAGAAACAAATGAAGGGTAGGGCAACAGCTCATTAATTACCCTAGCTCTGAAAAATGTTGGATTTCCTTCTTACTTTTCCATAAGATTTATTCCCTCCTACCCATTCTTCCTCTCTCCCTCCATTGAGGATGCTTGAAGTGGGACAGGTAGTGGAAAAGTGGCTGTTCAATACCTTTTGTCTTTGGGCAGACATTATAAAGAGAGAAAATGCTTCCCACTAGGCATTGTCCTATGCTTCCTGTGCTGACTCTTACTGTACGGAAGAGAGAGGTCTCTTCACGATCCCTCAGGTACATTTGTTCAGGAATTTTATGCTCCAGAATGTGTTCAACCAGCCACAAAAAAAAAGAGTGGGTTTTTTTTTTCACATCTCTTATAGGATTTCCTGTCTGTCTCATCCAAAAATCCTGCTAAATTCTGCTAGGTTTTTGATGGAACTCAGTTTTAATGGTAGTCAATCCCCAGCAGATTCCCATGGTAGCAAATAGCCATTTCCCTAAAAATCCAAAAAGAAGAGGCAACAAAGCCCCTACAGAGTATTAGGAGAGTGAAGGTTGTCATGGTCTTTGCAAAAGAAGAGAGGGATAATAAAGCTTATGGAATGGCATCTATGCTCCCATATAGAAGGTAAATTTTTCAGTTGTGTTCCTGTGAAACAGAACTGGGATTAATCTGTTGCCAAGGTTTAAAGTCAGACCTTACAGGTGATAGGAACCAAATAAACAGCAGCGGTAGTTTACTCAACTCATTTGTCCATCCACAACATTCATCAATTGTAGAAATAATGAAAGGTACGCAGGAAAATGTTCCTAAAATTTGCTAGGGCTCTGCTAGTACTTCTCCCTTAATTGTTTTGTGTGGTCTTCCCAGCGGTAATAAGGTTTCCAAATCTCCTTCATCTGTTCTTCCTTGTCATCAAATCAGTCTCTACCCTGATGAAATACCCATGCCCCATCATTGTCCACAGCTCAGGGAACTTACAGGCATCTCCTATTGTCTCCACCTTATAGACATCATAGTTATCTATGATTTCATCAAAAGTGGTATAAAGCTTGTTCAAGAGATCTACCACTTGGTAAGGTGTGCTGCTGCTGGACAGCTGAGTGAAGCCAACAATGTCACTGTTAAAACACAACAAAAAGAACATACTTATCCACTGTCCTAACCATTGCAGATTGGTAATCCTAAGTACACAGTAATAATTTCTCAGTGGAACTACCTCAACCTTCTCTTTTTCAGTATTTCTTTCGCTAAGGATCTTACAGAATAGTTTTGTCTTCAAACATTTACTTAAACTGAAAACATATTCCTTCCATTTAAAGGGACTGACTGACCAAAGTCTTTTTGCTTACCAATGCAGTAAACTACTTTTTACAGCTAGACTTTAATCTGCAACAGACTAAGTTGTCTTCAATTCTGGGTTATGTACAAATGAAAAAAGGGAACTTGACATCTGTCCATTTATGACAAGTGAAGACATGCAATTTATATGTTGCTTCACACACACATAACAAGTCAAAGACTGTAAATCCATGTGGACTCTAAGGATAGACAAGTTTCCTTTACACAGCTCAATGCTGGAACCTTTACTTACGTCTATCTTATGAAATATACATGCATGTGTGCGTAACACACATAAAGTGACGTGCTGCTCTGTGTTAGAGCTCCACAGTAATCTCATTTTTTATTTAAGAAATTATAATGAAAAAAATGGAGAGGTGTGAGAATTTTGAAAGACACTCATTTGCAGAGTCAAATGTTGCCACCTGTATGATACATGCCAGTTTAGATAGAAATTCTGTATTCGGTTAGGACTTCACCTCCACTAGGAGCCTAGAAGTTTCTTCAGTAGGAGTCAGTTCTAGTCATATCTTTCATTTTGTTTACCTGAAAAAGATGGTGGCACTTAAGTAACTTTGAGCTTGTGCATGTTTTCCCTGCCTGAGGTCATCTGCTACTTGCTTCGGCAACATACCTGTTGTAGAAAGTAGAGCACTGTTACTCTTTTGCCGTGGATAAAAGCACACAATAAACAGAACATGTTTGTTTAACGGTATAAAAGCAATGTTCATGAGTGTGAAATATTCTGAAGGAGAAAGCACTCTTTAGCATCAAAATCTGCTCTGCTGTAATGTGAGAATTCACAGTAAATCTGACTGATAACAGGCCCTGATTTTTCAGCTTACCCATAGCTTTTAGTTCAAACAAACCGATATCTATACATTCCAAGTCAGAGTAAGATTAGATTCTAATAGTGTGACTTGGGATATTACTAACTACTTCTTTGTCAACTCTTTGCTAGTGTTTTCTTCCTGTGTTAGGTTTTTTTACTATCTCTTCTCTGATTTTTTTAATCTTCTTTATTTCTCCTTGCAATTTATTTCTCCTATCTTGCACTTTCACAGCCTTTTCCTTTTTCTTTTCTATGTGGTATACCTGTTCCTTCATCCCTTTTTTCTTGTGGAATTCGAGAAGATACGCTGCCATCAAAAGTAACCTCAGTCCAAAAGCAATTTCCCAATATTTATAACTATACAGAAGGACTTCCAAGCAAGACGTAAGTGAGAGCACTATGGATTCTGGAGTCATAGCTCTCAGGTGAGTGCACTGATTTTAGGGGGAAAATATGAATAGTAGCTAAATATCTTTCCAGCTTTGCAAGGAGCAAGTATATTAATTCATTACCAACTAAATGTTATCTATTAAATAATCACCTATCAAAGGGTTTCTGTTTGTAATTAGACAGTTAAAATCAAATTATTATTGAGAAGAATATCCAGTATTTTTGTTATATAACTTACTATACAACAGACGATCAGTCTTCTGTTTTTCATGCATTAAATCCTGTGTTCTCTCAGAAACCAGTATCTCCAAATGTTTGCTATATTTCTCCATCTAAATAACATAGAGAATTGCATTAAATAATCCTTTTACTGAAATGGATTCATAGTTGTATAGGATTTAAGTATTTGAATGATTCTGCTTTGAAAACATTCAGATAAGCAAAGGCTCAAGTCTGAGAGAGTTGATTTTTTCTTACAAAATCCAAAGATCAGATTTCTCCCTAGGTAAATTTATGATTCTAAATTTGAGATTGTTGCTTACATTTAAGAGGGCAGAAGCCAATTCTAGACTTTTCAAAGTCTGTGTAAACATTAGGGTAGGCAAATCCAATGCAGAGACCAAGCTGCAGACATGGATTAAAATATGTTACCAAAACTGAAGGTATCTAAGTCTCAATCTTTTATTAAAAGCTCACAATGCTGTTTCGTAAACTGTCCTGCTATGCTATGCTATGCTTTTTGCATCCTTGCTCTATGTGAGGCAACAGACTGTGGAGGCAGGAGTCTCTTTTCTCTGCTGATGGGCTTAAGATACTCTGCTCAAAATGCATCTGTAAATATGTTATTCGTGGCAGGCAGGGATTCTATACCTGTAGTACTGTAAGACCACCACCAAGCCACTGGAAAAGGGGAATATAGTTTCCTGCGAGTGCTTTAAAAACCAAGCAGCATTTGACTGAAGAAACAAAAGTGTTCAGCCCCAAAGAAGTTGAGAAAGTTAAGAAAAACTGACAGAAATGGAATGAGAAGGAAAGCTGGGTCTCAAGCGGAACTGCAGCTACAATCAGTCCACCAGAGATGAATGAATGACTGTGGATTTTCTCATCAAACAGGGGGTATGAGAACAAAAAACAAACCTGAAGGATAGAGATGAAAGTTATTGCAAGTGAGCAGATTGACTTGGATTGGATTAAAAAACTAAATTTACCAGAGTCATCATCATGTCAACAGGGCTAACTTTATTAGGATTCATCTTGTATAACATTTTCTTGACTTGTTCAAATGTAGGCCTTTGGGCTGGATTATTTTTTCTGCACCTTCTTTTTTAGAGTGAGAAAAGCAAACAAGCTTTTGTCATTCCAAGCACAGGCAGTGTTTCAAATTAATACTACAATTTTCTCGGTGCAAACTGTCCATGTGAAGCCCTATCTGCAGGTGGTGAAAAGTGGCAGGGCTATGCTGAAGTCTGGAGACTTCTGCAGATATATGCTGAAAGAAGGATGTTAGTTCATGAAAATGCTGCTGGTGGAAATCATGAATTAGATGCTCACGTTCCTTCTGCCAAACACTGCTTAAGCTCTTGTCTTGTGCTTTAAGACAGTGTTACGCTGTTGTAGTCACATACTGTTTTCAGAGGACTTGTCCATACACAAAATTCACAAGAGATTAAAAACTCAACTACTTCTTAAGAATGTTAACTCCTGACTGAAATCTAGTGCTACTTATGAGAAGTTTGTTACATTTAGGTTGCTACAAACCACCAAAGGTGAGTTATATAGCTCTCAAGCTGAAACAAGGATGCCACAATCTTGTTCTGATTTAATTGAACCGGGAGGCAGTTTGAGGCTACTGAATACATGCACCTTTTGCATGAGAATCAAATGAAACTCATACTTTGCCTGAGATACGTACTTCACTATTTGAAAGTCCTTTGCCAGTAAGCTAAATAGATGTTACTAATATAAAACATGTATGGAACTCAACACTTTATAATAAAATGAAAATGCACAAAAATCAATGATTGAATATTAAAAACATAATTTAGTACACTGACAATTTGTGGGGACAACTGAAACTTTCAATTTGTCAGAATGACTGGTTTTTTATTAAGGATATTAAAGCATTTCATTGTGCCTTGTTTGAGATGTACTTCTTGACTTCTGGGTTGTTTACATTCATCAAAGGTAATATTGCCATAAAACTTCTTTGACATGTCTTAAATTCACTTCAATAAAGAATTTTTGTACACAATAGTGTCTCTTACTCACGTCTATGTAATCTGTGGGACATGGGCAAGAATTCTCAGCCTTTCCAGAAATTAATTCTGCCAAAGGTGGGCACCAAGAATATTCAGCTGAATGCACATCATCTTTCTAGAGAAAAAGAGATTAAACAATGTTGAAACACCGTTTCATACCGCCCATTCAAAATATATTACTACGATTATCATTACTTTTATGATGTCTTCCCTATGACTTCCAGATCAGCTTTTTTACATGAGAGTACAAGAAAAAAAAAAAAAGGCTATAACCCAGTCTAAACTGGGTGGCCTTGTCTAAAAGCTTTTTCATGGCTGAAAGACTTTAATCTCAGTGTTTATATGAGGTAAACAAATTTTGAAACAAATGAATACCTGGCAAGATATTGAGAAACTTTTGAGAAACCACAAGGCCTACATTGGTCTATTAACACAAACTGTCAGAAGTGGAATAATGGCAGTTTCAGGTCTTTGTTGTTAGAATTCTTGTTAAGCAAATTATTGCAGACAGAACATAGTTACATATCCGGAACATCTGGTTTCAATTTCAAGGTGCATTTTTTGTGTTTGCCATTTAGCACTGATCACAAGACACATGCAAAGACGACATTTTCCTTATGGAGAGCAGCTCATTTGCTCCTCTAGCATGTTCTTAGCACTGCAAAACTCCACTGAAAGGGCCTGTACATGGCAGGAAAGGGAAGGAACAACAGGAGAAAAAGGAAGATATTATGACGTACCTTCCCCCTCCACCTCCCTGCCATTAAGCGTCACAGAGCTAACCAAAAGGCAATTTTGGAGCTACATTATTTTTGTCATACACTCTTCTTCAAAGTCCTGGAGGGAAGACTGGTAGATACAAGAGGAAGCCCTGATTGCATGTTCCATTGGAACAGAACTTGCACCGCAAAATCAAGAGGAAAATGCATGCTCAAAAAATAAATCAAAGGTGCAGTTACTCAGAGTTTGGTTTGTAGCTTCAGCAGAAACAGAATCAAAGCTTTCATTCAAACTTCAAAGTTCATCTTTACTTACTGGCATAGGGTCACTTCTTGTGGCAATTTCTAGTAAAATGATGGCATAGCTGCAGAATAAAAGTAAACCAAAATCTTAATGGAATTACAGTTAATGGAGTCAGTGATTTCCTCTTTCCATGATTTCTTATTCTTCCCCATTTTACAGCTGAAAGCCCAGTATCCCAGAAGGGAGAATGGCAATAGTGCTGCTATCTGTTACTACTCTGTGTTTTCAGAGATCTGTCACTGATCATTTCACAGCAGTCTCCTCTCACAGTTACCAGTCTGAGAGATGAAGCATTTGAGTTTGATGGACAGCAAAGCAATTTTCTATGGAAGAATTAATGGACTCCAGAGGGGATATGGGCAAGCGTTTACATGATACCTACCAATTAAATACACAGGACAGGTTTGTGCTGTAATAAAGGGGCAGGAGTAGGTTCATCAGGATCATTAGCTGGAGGAGTGGCTTCTTTTCAGCACAGATCACTGTTCTGGAAAATCTCCATAAAGTCAATGATGAGACAGTGTGTCCAGAGTAGATCTTTTACAGTAAGCATTTTTGCTCGTTGTTTCTGAATTATATTTTCATCATCATCATCTTCATAAGATGAACCACGGTCAAACACATTCATCAAGGGTGAAGAATGGAAAAAATGGGGTAACAACTGGGTGTTCAGTCTCCTTATTTAACTCACGAGAGATCTTTCAGAACAGTGATCTCCAAGATGCCAGCACCTCCTCTAACCAGTAATCCTGATAAAGATACTCTTGCCTTTTTATGTATTGAAACTGTGTAATAATTAACTCCCCGTATGCATCTCTACTTAATAACATTTATTTTTATTGGTTTGCAATCTCTTGTATTGCTAATGGTTGCTCTGTTCTGTAAAGCATTCTAGCTATATAATGGGGTATGTCTATCTATCTTTCAGTCCACTCAGTGGACCACCACTGGCAAATAAAATAATGCATATAAACCATGCTGAATAATGTAGAAATTAATCTGATGAGATTTTTTTGTTAATTTTGGGGTAATTTGGGAGTAGAAAGGAATACCAATCCTGGTAAGACAGCAAAGCTGAAACAGATTTTCAAGGAGAGTATTTAGATGATGGTAACTCTGATAAAGCAGTATTGATTTCATTCAGCTTCAGCAGCACTGCTCAGAAAAAGTCCTAACATAGTGGATAGTAAAATTCACATAACAATTACCAATCAAGAGGAGCCAATCTAGGAGAAACTGTGACTGGAAACAACCTCTTCAGCTCAAACAGGAGCTACTTTCATGCTCCTGTTCTCATTTCCATTTTACCTTTCCCATCTGACCAACACATACCCTAAAGAACTTTAAAAGTTAGTGATTCATCTGTAAGACCACACAAAATTACAAGTCCCACTCCTGCGGTTCCTACTCATTTTTTATTTGGGCCATACCTTCAGGAATATTAATGGAATTTTTGCATAGATAAAAACAGGATTTCAAGACTGGAACACTACTCCCCGGCCAGTGAGCCCACACACATGTATCAGGAAGGCTTAGCACCGGCTCATATCATCAAACACAAACTGTGTTAAAATGCAGGTTATGAAGAATAGCTCAGTTAAAAAGACAACCCTTTTAATGCCACAGAGTACATCTCTATTTTTCTTCCCTGACTGCACATTGCTCTTCTCTCTTTTCTGATTTAATCTCTTACTGTTTTTTCTTTTTTACCAAGGAAGGATTAACTGCAGTACAACAAAAGAAGACTTGGATTTTGCAGACGCGGGGACTGACAGCAAGATAGATTCAGCAAGCATTCACTGAAACTGTGAAAAGTTCATTGTAGTCATCTACGATATCAGCAAATCAGCTTTTAGCACTATTTTAAGGGGAGTCCTTGGCAAGAAATGGCTTCAGGAGGCCAGGTTACCTGCAAAGTCAAGTAATGATATCTAACCTGAACAGGGGCAAAATGTGAACCAGACAAGTACCAAGGAAACATTTGCTGGAATGCATTTTGGCTGTGGGGCAATGATAAACTGCAATGCGTAAGACAATCCTAAAATTGCTGCTTAGTTGGAGCACTTTCTAAGACCAGTCCATGTAGAAAAAGTAAAGACCGACATAGGATAAATGACAATAGCCAGAAATATCAACACAGTGACAAACTGCCTTTAGTTGAGCTATTTTGAAGCAAATTCTAAGGGCATGTTTAAGCCTATAGATATAAGTACTATTGAGACCTCAAATTCTTGCTTCCATAATCTGATAGAATGGATTACAATTAATAATGTTCTAGCATATTGTATATGCATACTTAGGTCTTTACAGGGGAATAATGTGCATTAATCCAGTAAATCTTATATATAAAATCGTGTCTTCAGTCCATATAATTTTTAATGAATCCTAATTGAAAAAAGGAGAAGACTTAAACAACATTCTCTGTTTCTTCAACTAATTTTTCAATAAAAGCCCCATAACAGTCACTTAAGGCAGTAAGCATTGTGGCCTAGTGCGGGCCAGAGTAAAACTCGGACCTTTTGATAAAGGCAATAATAGCTACTCTTTGGTAAATGTTGTTAATAAACAGTTTTGGGCCCCTCACTACAGGAAGGACATTGAGGTGCTGGAGCGTGTCCAGAGAAGGGCAACAAAGCTGGTGAAGGGTCTAGAGAACAAGTCTTATGAGGAGCGGCTGAGGGAACTGGGGCTGTTTAGCCTGGAGAAGAGGAGGCTGAGGGGAGACCTCATCGCGCTCTACAACTACCTGACAGGAGGTTGTAGCGAGGTGGGGGTTGGTCTCTTCTCCCAAGTAACCAGCGATAGGACGAGAGGAAATGGCTTCAAGTTGCGCCAAGGGAGGTTTAGACTGGACATTAGGAAAAACTTCTTTACTGAAAGAGTGGTCAGGCCTTGGAACAGGCTGCCCAGGGAAGTGGTGGAGTCACCATCCCTGGAGGTATTTAAAAGACGTATAGATGTGGCGCTTAGGGACATGGTTTAGTGGGCATGGTGGTGTTGGGTTGACAGTTGGACTTGATGATCTTAGAGGTCTTTTCCAACCTTAATGATTCTATGATTCTATGATCCTATGATTCTTCTGCTCAACTGTGTTGCACTGTCAGCATTTCAATCTCTAATTGAATTCCAGTTCTTTACATTCTGCTAGCTACCAAAGTCACCAGGAAATAGAAGACTTCTGCTGGGCTAGGAATGTGGCAAGAAAAAGTAAGAGAAAAGGGCCACAAAACATCTTGCAGTACCATTCTGCATTTTCCCCTTTCAAATGCTTTCAGCAAACCACTGGAAATAAGCAGACAGAGGAAGTATCATTGTTAGGAAATGGAATACAACAAGAACACACTGATTTTCCTATTTAATACAGAAAAATCATGCGAGAACCAAGAAATATAGGTATTTTTTTAAAAAAAATAATTTAATGACTTCTTCATTGGATTATTATTCTTAGAAAATTCAATTGTAATCCCGCTTATGTGAAAAGTGATTGGATGGAAGCTATCCATCACTGGCAAGGCTTAACCTGATAGCCAAATAAGCCATTGCAAAGTGATCTCCTATAAAGGCTTTCAGAAGGAAAGGGATGGCATTATTCACTAGTGCATTCATTTCCTTTTCCTACCTCTATTTTTTCTCTGCAAACCAAATATTGTCACTGTGTGTATGCAGCAAAATAACGTATTGACACTAATTATAGAATTATGGGATGCATATATGCATTATGACATCCTGGAAAATTTATGCTATTAACTTTTAAGGTATTGCCATTATTGAAAATAATCTACTTTTTCATAAGAAACAGCAACAAAAAATGATTACTAGATAACAGCAGATCTTTATACCTTTTTCACCTACCAGTCCAGAGTAACTCTTTATAAATCATTAGATGAACTCTGCATTTATATAATGTCAGTGAATTCAGTATTTGTTTATCTACCTTGAAAGAGAGGATCTTGTGATATCTATGCTGTTCTGTATGCCAGGATCAATCTTTTTTGAAATACAATCAAACATATACCTGAGGTGACCACAGAATCACACTGAGCTTAATTGTGATTAAAGAATACTCAACTTGAGATGAGATTATTAAGTACAAGAAACAGGAAAAGTTAACTACCTGTAGACGTCTATCATAGAATTGGGTTCAAAGTCTGAAAGGGAATGGATTTCAGGAGCTGTGTAAATCTGTATCAAATTCTGCTGGTATGAGCTTGACCCCTCAGGAGAATCTTCTTTTCTGTATGACTGCAAACCATAATCTAACATGGAAGAAAACAGGAAGCAAACTACTCATTGGGTACTTCTCTGAAACATGTGCATTAGTAGACAGTAACATAACTAAAGGAATTAATTTTCCCTATTTGAAATACACAACTTAGTCTAAAAATAGTGTGTGTCTGGTGGTCTTGTCCCTCTAAACCAATTGCAAATATAGGACCTGGAAACCAAGTATTTGGGTGAGACTGCATGACAGCAGGGAAGTTGAACTACATGGCCCCTTCCAATCAGAATTATTTTATGATTCCATAAAATTATATTCAGAGAATAGGCTCACTTCAGTGCAAGAGTTAGCATGCAAATGCAGGTTTCTGTCTACTCGTCCCCTGATACTTATCTGTGGTGGCAGGTTGCTAGAGTAATTACAAGTTAGACAGACTAGAACTACTGAAAATCAGATGGTGGGCTTTACTTGCACACCACTAGCTTTGGAAAAAAGCAGCATAAATGTAAAACATCTTTGCAGCTATACTTTTAGCCTACCATAGAAGAGATTCTTAGCATGTGACTCAGGATAGGAGAGGAGAAAAAACCAACTGACTTCAGTTTTCTTTTTGATATAAACAGCACTCTGCTGAGTGTATGGGAAGGCAGGATGAAGATGTCTGGTTTTGTCTGCAGTGACCTCTAATTAAGATGGTCCTAGAGCTTCATTCTTTATGTTGGAGGTCAGTCGAGTTTTTCAAGTAGCTCCCACATTGATTATTTGTGAGGTTTGTTCAACATTATCGCATCCAGATAAAGCATGAATATTTGAAGTCTCTACAGTTAACTGCTGAAGTGCTACCAGTTAACTTCTGAATAATTTCACAGAGATCTCATTTAATTCAGAGGAGCTGTGCTAAGGTGATACAATTGATGTAATCCAACTATCTCCATTTTTTATGCTTTTCTCCAGAACAGGTTCTAAGCAAAGTAGGCAGTCCTGAATGCAGCAGGATACTAAACAAGTTGAAGAAGCAGGCATGGCGTCATAGGATGAACAATTGAAAGACTGTTGCTGCTGTTTTTAAGATGGCTGTAGGTTATAGAGTGTGATAACTGCTTTGGGGAGGAAGTAGAAGAGATGATCATTGCCTTCATTTCCTTTGGCAGCTGCAAACTAAACTAGACTCTCCAGTGGTTTTTCTGTCCCCACAGGCTGTCTTCCTGTACCAGGAGCTATAGCTCTGTCTGTGGGAGAATACAATTCAGTTTTGTGTACAGGACTGAAAAGCTCTGAGTTGAGTCTGCTTTTCTCCATGAAACTAGCTTGTGTTTACCAGTCAGCATTATTCCATATCTTTACAGCACTGTCCATGCCTCAGGTTTTCTCTCTGTATCAAAACTGAGAATGAGACAGAGTTTATGCTCAGACTGATATTGATAGACTCCATCGTTTGTGGGATCTGATATGTGCATCAGTGACACATGTTAAATGACTTGGCATGATAACATAGCATGAAACTTGCTTCAGCGTGGGGCACTTCTAATGAAGGCTGGTATAGTCAGCATTTCCACATGAAATGTCAACATGGAGGTGCTTGGGAGGAGTGTTGAGTTTGAAATCTATATGCATTAGTGGGTTAGCTGGGCAGTTTTGAAATTTTGTTTCTTATCTTCTCTTTACCTGCAATTTTACAAACCCATCGGTCATCTATCACACAGTTACTAGACTTCAACCGTCCATGATACATTTTGTGGTGGTGAAGATAGGCCATTCCTTGCGCAATATCAGTAGCAAAAGAAAACCTGAAAGGCAAAAATCAACGAGCTAGTATTTCCATTAAACCTTCACTCAAGAGTGGTCCAAAGCCTACTGAAGTTGACAGAAAGCCTCCCTATGACTGCAATTGCTTTCAATTTGTGTCCCCATGCTCATTTTTCCAGAACACTTAAGGTGGGTTGCTGAAAGCCCTTAGCTCCCACTCAGTTGTCTGAGTCCACAGGCCTTTAGCCTCTTTTAAGACAGCTGAGTTTCTTCTAGAAATTCCCAGTACCTTTCCATCCTTGAGAGTGCTTTCAAATATTTACAAGAGAAACAATTTTTTATTAACTTTCTCACTTTATTTGGAGGGTTTCCTCCCTTACAATCTTTTTCTTTGCTGAAGGCAAACATAAGGCTCCAAGAAGATTATTCTCAAAAAACAATGTCATTGCCTTTGTGGAAGTTTCGCTGACAATGTAAGCTCATTTTCTGTATTGGTAAATATAATAAAGCGTTTGTAGGTATGTCAATCATTTCACCAATATGTCTTCACGAACAGAGATGCAGTGACTTTTAATTAACTGGGGATGCCCAAGAAATTTGGGAACAAAATGAAGTTATATGGGAAAAAAGGAACAGGAAAAAAAACAGTTTTGCAGTATAACTAGAGGTGGGTTGAAAAGTCATTGGCTTAGCATGACCAGCACTAAATATATGATTGCTCAAAAATCCAGAAGACAAGTTGGGCTGGATATTTGAATTCACTTTCTTTCTTTCTTCTTCATACTTTCCAAATCACAGTGCAAGCCTGTCTATCCAAGGATTGTATCTAAAATTAACATCTTGTCCTAAACAGCACATAGCACAGTTTGTGTCATTTAGCTTTTCAAAGGTTTTTTTCTACCTGAAGCCCCAATTCAAAGGAATGTCTTCATTGAGCAGAACATCACTCAGGCTGCCTTTGGGGCAGTACTCTGTCACGATGGCAACGTTTGGCACTTCTATACAGCCTCCAATGAATTTGCAGAGATTGGGATGGTCAAGTTCCCTGTGAAAATCAACAGAAATAATAGCATACCAGCAATTTTCATGGATAGCCCTCCTGCTTTTTGTGGGGTAACTGGAAAACCAAGTGCCTTCTCTCTCCATGTAGAGAGAAAATTAAAACAGGCATTAGGAGATTTTGATCTGGTGTCAAAGAAAAGTTTGAAAGGAAGAAGAATATGAATTTACAGTCACATTTGGACAGATTGTAACCCCTAAAGAACCAGTGTAAAAATGGAATAACATACATTTCTCAGGTTTCACTTCTTACCTCACTTGCTTTACTTCTTTACGTATGGATTTGGACAGTGTGAATGCCTTCTTCAATATTTTCTTTATGGCCACTGTTCTACCATCGCTGAAACAGAATGAAATGCTGTTCACAGGATTTGAGGCCAACTTCATAAGCCAGCCAGACTACAAAAATGGACTGGGTATTTTTTTTACAGTGGGCAGCTTCATAGTTCTAGAGATGAAGTACAGAATTTAAGCATATCCATACGTGGGTGTAAATCTGAATCTGAGTACGTGACAGGTGACAGGGCCCTGTTTCTATGATAAGGGAAACATTAGTAATTATATTCAAGCACCCTTGATCTGTGGATGACATTTGGAACGTGAGAGTGTTAAGAGTTGAGGCAGCTGGATGATGGAGTAGCAGCAAAGGAAATGTCAGAGCTAGTGAAACGTATATGGCAACATCCCTGCTACCTGTTGCTTCTGTCTACTGTTTTGGAGATCCACCACTGATATTTAACATCCTTTTGTTCTCATGGGATGAAGCATTCTCAGTGATGAAGCAGCTGAGTTTGATAGACAGCAAAGCAATTTACCTTGGAAGAATAAAGGAATCCAGTGGAGATACATGCAGGAATTTAAGTGATACCCACCATATAAATACAGAGTACGGGGTCTGTGGTGTAGCAGATGTAGGTGCTTTGCCAATGAGACTGAATACCCCATTCTTACATCTTTCACCCTTGATGAATGTGTTTGACCTTGATTCATCTGAGGAAGATGATGATGATTCAGAAAGAAGCAGCAAAAATGCTCACTGTAAAAGATCTATGCTGGACACTGTGTCTCATCAAAGAAGTGGCTATGGTTTTCCAGAACTGAAAAGGCAGCTGCTCCCCCAGCTGATGATCCTAAGTAAGCTCCTCTATCCTGCAAAGCACAGATCCTGCCCTGTGTATTCAAATGGTAGGTATTACTTCCGTCTTTGCACGTGTTCCACCCCTAGCCCCTAATTATTTTTTTTTTAATGGGTAAAATTGCTTTCTGGATAGCAGGATATGGCTATACTGTTTGTCCGTATAGTTATGTTATGTGCATCTTTATAATGTGATCCAGAGGTGAAATGCTCTGTATCTTCAGTCACATCAGCTGGTTTAAGGACAAGATTTTTAATGTACTACTGTATAGGATGCCACTCTTTAGTGCAAAGAACCTCGCTGTGCTCTGCCTGCTTTTTAGAAGAAGGGCTGCATAAAAGCCTTGGTTCCAAATATATTTGAACAGTAAGGTCCATTCATTAACAAGACACATTATGCAGCCACAGCCTTTTAACAAGTCCCCAAGAGAAAAGGAGAAATGACAACCAAAACAGAAGCCTGGCATATAAGATATTCCACAGCCAGTATGTGATACAAGTCAGATGATGATACTAACTTACTAGATTTGGCCTAACAAGAGAAATGCAAGCTTTTGCACTACCTATCAGCAGTAAAGTGGCAAGAAACAGAAAGCAAGGTGAAACTATAGTATATTAGGTACTGCGGTAAATGAGTAATATATTGACTTACTATCTCCCAGTCTGGGTGAAGTACTGTTTCCTGGACATGTAAGCAGCCGCTGTGCAGGAGCTCAGAGCAGTGATACAGCTGGCATTGGAGTCACTGGGTGCAGGGGGAGCACTCATCATGCTTCCTGTTGCTGTCCGTACTATGCGATCTAAATGGGATATGGGATGAGAAAAGGTACCTGAAGATGCATATTATTCCAAAGGTAGAGACTCCAGAGGCAGACAAATATAGGGAATTCTCCAAATCTTTTCATCTTGGCTGGTCTTGTTAACAAAGACAGAAATTGCTTGGAATGTGACTGATGCATAAAAAGTGAAAAAGTTCCAGAGGTGATTCATTGTCAGAGATCTTTCCCACTAATCCTCAGGATTTGATGGAAGTTTAGTTTCTCTGCTCTTGGGATGATTAGCTCTTGCTGCTATTTAGATGCTGAGGACAGAACCCAGGGAAGCAGAGCAAGCCCTGTGCCATATTTTAACAAGTCTATTTGAAGTTCCTAGAAGACTGTAAAGTACAGGGATGTGGGAAGTGATTCTGACACCAGAGGGAAGTCAGGGAAGAGCAACAATACAGTCAGATGAAAAAAATCAGTGATCTCAATGTATGTCTTTTAATCTCTGTTGACCAGCTCAAAGTAACAAAACGGATTTCAAAACAAATTTAATGAATTACATATCATTTCACCATCTCCAATTAAACCCCAGATTTTGCCTATTAGTCTCAGCATTGCTGAAACTTCTCAAGTCTCCCTGGTATCAATATCCAGTAAAGTGTTGCTGAAGAAGTTCAGCATCTCACCTTGCATCAGGACTGCCATGTTCCCACACCATAGTATTGTCCATATGCAGTTCAAAATTACGTTGACATTTGGAGTCTTTCTACAGCATTCCACCCAGAAATATATTAGAGAACCCTGAGATAGCTTTGAGAATAAAAGTGTATATATATATTTTTTTTTAATAATAAT